ACATTGATCTTCAATAGTATGTTTCTTGTTGGGGGTCCTCTATTGTGTCCAGTTTTTTTGAAGTGATTTTTTACAAAATCATGTTCTTCGTTCCTTTTTCTATAGTTTTTGTCTCTTAGTTAGTTCAATTCTCCTGGCATCCTCTCCTTGGTTTCCTCTCCTTGTTTTCTATGGTGTTTCTATGGGATTTTTGTAAAATTTCCATGGAAATTCTATGTAATTTATATGGTGTTTCTATGATATTCTATGGTGTTTTTAAAGGTGTGTCTATGGTAGTTCTGTGGGATTCCCGTGGGGTTTCAAAAGTATGTCTATGGGATTTCCTTTGAGTTCCTATGGGGTTTCTCTGATATTTCTATGGGAGTTCTTTTCGGATTTCCACCATATTTCTATTGGATTCCTATGATATTTCTATGAGATTGCTGTGGGATCTAAAGCAGATTTCTATGGTATTTCTAGAGGAGTTCTTTGGGAATTCTATGGGATTTCCATAAGTTTCTTTCAAAATTATATGGTGGTTCTATGATATTGCTAAGGGATTTCTACTGGATTCCTGTGGGGTTTCCATGGTATTTCTATGATATTTCTATGGGATTAATATGGGATTTCTATGGGCTGGCGATGGTATTTCCATGGGTTCCTATGGGCTTTCAAAAGGATGTCTATGGAATTTCCATTGGATTCCTATGGGATTTCTATGGGATTTCTTTGGGCTTTCCATGATATTTCTTGTAGATGTCTATGGTATTTCTATGGGGTTACTAAGGGATCTCTATTGGATTCCATTATGATTTCTATGGGATTTCCATGGTGGTTCTTTGGAACTTCTCTGGGATTTCAAAGGGTCTGGGATTCCAAAGGGGTGTCTATGGATCTCTATCAGATTTCTATGGGATCTCTATGGTAGTTCTATGATTTTTCTATGGGATTTCTCTGGGGTTTCTGTGGGATTTCCATGAAATTTCTATTCGATTTCTATGATATTTCTATAGTATTACTCTTGGGTTTCTATGGGATTCCTATGGCATTCCTATGGAACTTCCATGATGTTTCTGCAAACGTCTGAATGCAAGCCCCCTGACATTTTTTTCCCAAAAGCATCTTCGATGCTTGGGTTCTCGTTTAGTAACCTTCCTCCAACCTTACTCCAAACTCGCTAAACTCAGCAAAGATAACAAATCAATTACTGTAACTACTTAATCAAAAAATCGAAATTAACTAATTAATTAGCCAACTAATTTAAATAATTAGATTAATTATTGCTTTTTCAAATTTAAATACTGAATCAACTACTTACCTAGTTTTTTGATACCTAAATAACTAACCAACTAACTAATAAACTAGTAGACTTAAGTAAAATTAGTTGGATTTTTTTTTGGGATTCACAATTCAAATCAAATCTTTTTTGTTTTGATTATATATATCATTTCATTTTAATGAATCTGAATCTCAACTTTTATCTTTCCTGATTTTGGCGAGTTTGGAGAAAGGTTGGAGAAAGGTTGGAGATCACAAATAATTTCAAATTTCTCGGCACGCTGAAACTAATTCATCAATTAATGAATTGTCCCATCAACAAATAAATTAGTTAATCAAGTAATGAAGGAATTCCAAACAAGGGCACAGGTGGCAACCATAGTGAAACCCCCGTTTTTTCATGTCACCCATGCACTGGATTTCCGGGGTGCAGTTCAACCAACACATTGAAACGCTTGTGGGAAGGGGGCCATACCCCCGTGAAAGCTAACAGAGTGAGGAGTGTAATGTGTAAAGTGTGGAGTGTAAAAGTGTGGAGTGTGGAGAGTAAAGTGTCGAGTGTGGAGTGTAAAGTGTGGAGTGTAAAGCGTGGAGTGTGGAGTGTAAAGTGTGGAGTGTGGAGTGTAAAGTCGGGAGTGTGAAGTGCAAAGTGTGGAGTGTGAAGTGTGGAGTGCGGAGTGTAAAGTGTAGAGTGTAAAGTGTAGAGCGTGGAGTGCGGAGTGTAATGTATAGAGTGTAAAGTGTGGAGTGTACTGTGTAAAGTGTGGAGTGTGGAGTGTGGATTGTAAAGTGTAGCAGTGGTTTTTGGTCCTTTCGGCCTTTCCTCTTAGAATCTTCACTATACACTGTATACACTGTTTGGGGTCTCTTGCCGGGAGAACTGGTATTCTAGCTGGCATTTCCGTTGATGCCAACCAAGCCGCTGCAGGTCGACAGAGAGAGCGCTGAAGGGCGCCCACCTGCGAGCAAGATGCATCGGAAGGCATGGCGCCTCCTGCTTCCGGAGCAGCTTTACCAAGACCGCCGGGTAAAGTTCCGCGCCGTCCAACACGAACGGCGCTTGTCCGCCCTGAAAAGGGCCGCCACCTGGCCCTTCACACAGGCCGTCGAAGAAAGACGGTAGGAGAACCACTTCGGCCACACTCTCCTGCAAATTGCATCAGTTGTGATACGTTGTGATAGTTTGGCATTAAGTGTTAGCTTTTGAACACCTTTTTTGTTTTTTAATTCCACACATGCTCATTAGACCTCATATACGTTGTATCAAATCAAGGTGCACAACCAAAAACCGCACGAGAGAACCCCGTTCTAGACTTTGCTGTCGTCGCCCTTTTATAAGTCTCTTGTTCCCCACCTGCCAGGTGAGGGTTGTTAGAATTTATCAAAATTGTTCTCCTCCTCCGGCTCCTCATCCTCCTCCTCATCCTCCACCTCATTCTTCTCCTCCTCCTCCCTCTCCTCCAGCTTCTCCTCCACCACCTTTGCATCCACTCCCATGTTCACTTCCGCCTTGCCAACTCTTCGCCAAGCTCTTCGCCAACTTCCGCGCGCAGTGGGCACTGCTGGACCTCAACTGCAAGGGTCTGAGCGCACTGGGCACCGCTGGACCTCAACCTGGGACCTCCCGAGCTCAGTGAGCACCGCTAGACCTCAACCTGGGACCGTCCAACCTCAATGAGCACCGCTGGACCTCAACCTGGGACCCTCCGAGCTCAGTGAGCACCGCTGGACCTCAACCTGGGACCCTCCGGGCTCAGTGAGCACCGCTGGACCTCAACGGCCAGATAGAATGCCAGAAGATATGCCAGATAGAACGCGAGATAGAATGTCAGAAAGAATGCCAGAAGATATGCCAGATAAAGTGCCAGAATGCTTGGCAGATAAAATGCCAGAAGATATGCCAGATAGAATGCCAGAAGGTATGCCAGATAGAATGTCAGATAGAATGCCAGAAGGTATGCCAGATAAAGTGCCAGAATGTTTGCCAGATAGAACGCCAGAAGATTTGCCAGATAGAATGCCAGATAGAATGTCAGAAGATATGCCAGATAGAATGCCAGATAGAATGCCAGAAGATATGCCAGAACATATGCCAGAACATATGCCAGAAGATATGCCAGGTAGAATGCCAGAAGATATGCCAGATAGAATGCCAGAAGATATGCCAGATAAAGTGCCAGAATGCTTGGCAGATAGAATGCCAGAAGATATGCCAGATAGAATGCCAGATAGAATGCCAGAAGGTATGCCAGATAGAATGCCAGAAGATATGCCAGATAGAATGTCAGATAGAATGCCAGAAGATATGCCAGATAGAATGCCAGAAGACATGCCAGATAGAATGCCGGAAGATATGCCGGAAGATATGCCAGAACATAGCCCAGAAGATATGGCAGGTAGAATGCCAGAAGATATGCCAGAACATATGCCAGACCATATGCCAGAAGATATGCCAGGTAGAATGCCAGAAGATATGCCAGATAGAATGCCAGAAGATATGCCAGATAAAATGCCAGAAGATATGCCAGATAGAATGTCAGATAGAATGCCAGAAGATATGTCAGATAGAATGCCAGAAGATTTGCCAGTAACAAAACGTATAGATGTGGGGATAACTCGAAGTAAAGTAATTGTTTTTAAACACGGTGTAGGAATTCCATTTAGACCAGTTTTGTTTGAGGGTTTAAAGTCATGATCAATGCACCAAGGCCCCATGGGTAGTAGTTTAACGTATAAAAACTCTTGGTTGTGCCTACAGGTTGTCAAGCAACCCCTTGCGTCCTGTAGAATCATTTCTTAACTGCCCCATCATCTAGCACTACCTGCTTCTCTCGAAATCTCTTGCTCCTGGCTTGGCTTCTATGTCCTCTCAGTTGTTCTCGTCTCTTCTCTGCTCGTTTCATCCCTTCCCATCCAACCCTCTGCCTCCCACTGCAATGCCCTGCGTTGGCGGACCCGCCGCGCGAAGGGACCCAAGTCGACGCTGCGCTTGGCCGGTTTTCCGCATCGTCCTAGACCAGCCAGGAATAAGAGAAAATGTGTCGGTGCTAAAACTTCGAGATGTAGCAGTACTGTATGGCACAGACAAACAATTACAATTATCAGAGGAAGTTTCGTAGAGGAACTCCGAGTTGCCGGCATTCACATTGGCGCTAACAAAAAGATTATTGGGTCCGGTTGGCATGTTCCTGAAATAGAGACGTAGCTCAAGAAATAACAAAATCCAGTTGGCACGGTTTGCGCGCACTACTGTTACCTTTTGCAGCCGGGCGTGGCAAATCAAATTTGGGCGGCCACATCAAGATGGCGACGGTAAGTTGGGACCGGACGCTTCTCCATTTTGGCACTGATGAGTTTCCTTTTTAACTTCCTTTGGAAAAGTGCTTCAAAAGCGTCCTTCTTCTGTGTACTGTAAAAACATCTCTGTGTGAAAGGTTCTGTGAATAAAAGCCTGCTGTGTGTAAAAGCCTGCCTATGTGCAAGAGCTGCGCTGTGCAGAAGCTGGCTGTGTATATATATGCAAGCTTCTCTGTGCAAAGACTTCTCTGTATAAACGCATCTCTGTGTAAAAAGTTCTGTGTAACGGCTTGCTCTATGTGAAAGCTTTTCTGTTTAAAAGCCTCTCTCCGTGCAAAGGCTTCTCTTTGTAAAAGATTTTCTGTGTCAAAGGCTGGCTGTGTTTGAGAGCTTGGTGTGTGTGTGTGTGCGTGAAAGTTTTTCTGTGCAAAAGCTTCTCTGAGTAAGAGTTTCTCTCTGCAAAAGTTTCTCTATGTAAAAGCTTTGCTATGCGTAAACGCGTATGCGCGTGCGTAAAAGCTTCCGTGCGTAAAGACTTCTGTCTGTAAAAGTTTCTCCGTGTACAAGCTTCCCTGTGCAAAGACTTCTCTGTGTAAAAGTTTATCTGTGTCAAAGGTCGCTGCGTTTCAGAGCTTGATGTGTGTGAAACGTTTTTGTGCGCAAGCACTTCTCTTGTATTAAAACTTGTCTGAGTAAGAGTTTCTCTGTGCAAAAGCTTCTCTATGTAAAAGTTTTGCTATGCGTAGACACGTATGCGCGTGCGTACAAGTTTCCGTGCATAAAGGCTTCTGTCTGTAAAAGTTTCTCTGTGTAAAAGCTTCCCTATGGAAAGGCTTCTCTGTGTAAAAGTTCATCTTTATCAAAGCTCGCTGCGTCTAAGAGCTTGATGTGTGTGAAAGTTTTTGTGTGCAAAAACTTCTCTATGTAAAAAACTCCGCTGTGAAAAGGTTTCTCTGTGCAAAAACTTCTCTATGCACAAGCTTTGGTATGCATAAAGGCGTGTGTGTGTGTGAGAGAGAGTACACGTTTCCCATGCAGTGTAAAAAAAATCTGGGCGTTGAAGCTTCTCTGCGCGTCAAGACTTCTCTGTGCGTAGAAGAATTGAGAAGACGGAGCAGGAAGAGGTTAAAAGAGTTGAGGAGAGGGTGGCAATAAGTGAGAAGGATTCAGACGGGTTGAGAAGAGTTGAAAAGAGGTGGACCAAGGTGAGAATCATTGAGAAGAGTTGAGAGGAGGCGGCAAGAGGCAAGTAGTGTTGAGAAGGGTTCACGAAAGGCGAGTGGAGTTCAAATGAAGTGAGGAAAGGTGGGGTGAGTTGAGAAGAGGTGGGCAGAGGTGAGAACCGTTGAGAAGAGTTGCGAAGAGGTAAGAACAGGCAAAAAAGAGTTGAGAAGAAATGGAAAGAGGTGAAGAAGGAGGTGAGCTGAAGTGGAAAGAGGCGAACAAATTGAGAACGGCTGAGAAGCGTTGTTTAAAGAATTGACGGGTGCTGAGATCGCTTGAGAAGAGCTGCAGAGAGCTGACAAGCGGCGGACACACTTCAAATGGTATGAGGCCAACGACGATGGATTCACAAAACAAAGTTTCGAAGAAGTGAGGCTTCACTCCAACTTCCACAGGCGCGACCGCCCCTTCACTCCTACAGCGCAACAATCTTTGCCACTCGAAACTTCCGCCACCCGCCTCGTGCGGATTCCACTTCTCTTCAAACTATAGTGACAGCTCATGATTTCCTATGTCCCCTCCTCCTCCTCTGTCTCTGGCGGCTCGCCGTCCAGAGCCCACGGCTGAACCAGCAACTCTGGAGGGGTGATCGGAGCCACCTCACGGAATCTCATCGCTGACTTTTCACATGTCGCTTTACAAGCTAAAAGCACCGTCATCCTACCAAGACTAGACTTATGTCGCACCAAAAACAGCACCCAAAATCATTGCAGAATGTTGTTCCCAACATCTTTGTGTGGGGTTCTTGTTTTTGGTTGTGCACTCCAGTCCGCTCCTCCTCCCGCCCCCGCGTCCAACTCTCTCACCGACAACCTACTCACACACAACTCTCTCACACACAACTCACTCACACACACACACACAACTATCACACACAACTTACTCACACACAACGTGGCACTTGGCGAAATCGACCCGCATTCTGTCTCGCAGGCGTATAGCGACCCCGACGTGCATTCTGCAAGGCAAACGTGGCGCTTGGTGACAACCACCTTCACTTCAACTGCTCGAGCAGTCTTCCGGCCCTGTATTCAGGGTCGGTGCCTGTGGTGTTTGAGTATATTCTCTTATTCCTTCTGGCTCTCTTATCCCTTCTGACTCTCCACCAACACTCGGGACATGTTCTTTTCCTGTTCTGGGCGGCTTGCGGCTCTCACTGCGGCTTCTTTCAGCATCTCCAGCACCTCTATTGCCATTGGAGCTGTCCTTCGGCGGACTTCTCTCATCACTCACTGATGCCTCCCCAGTAGGAGCAGCTGTGTCCCCACTAGACTCAATAGACACTTGCCCCTCACATGTCGCATCGCAATCATTCCAAGAAATCCACCCCGCACTCCCACGCCGGCCTTCCCACTGCTCATCGTTCAGTCATTCCAAGAAATCCACCCCGCACTCCAACGCCGGCCTTCCCACTGCTCATTGTTCTGGTAACCAGCCTGGTCACGTTGTCACGCATCTTCATCTTGCCATTGGTCTCCATGCGAACCACCATCAGAATCTCTTCTTTGCCATCGCCATTGCCCATGCCACCAGCCATCATCATGCCAAGGCTGGTCCCACCATCTGGGTGGGTCCTGCCACCGCCAAGCCTCTGCCATGCGCCCCTGGATCTAACACCGCTCCGCGGCACCAATGCAAACGTTTGAATGCAAGCCGCCTGACATTTTTTTACAACAAACCTGGGAGCCTTCAGCCAGCAATTCACGTCTTGAAATCATCAGCACGCGTCAAAGCCAAGCAAACCAACAGGAAAATCACAGCTTCTATGATATTTCTATGAGATGACTATGTGATTTCTGAAGGGAATTCTATGGTATGCTTATGGGATTTCCATTGAATTCCTATGGGATTTCTATGGGATTTCTATTATGTTTCTATCGGATTTCTTTAGGATTACTATGGGATTCCTATGGCATTCCTATCCATGATGTTCTATGATATTTCTATGGGATTACTATGGGGTTCCTGAGGGATTTCTATGGGATTCTTATGGGATTTCTTTGTGGTTCCTATGCTATGTCCATGTTATTTCTATGGTTTTTCTATGGGATTTCTGTGGGATTCCTATGGGATTTCCATGATATTTCTATGATATTTCTATGGGATTACTATGGGGATGTCAATTGAAAGTAAGTTGAAATCAGTTGAAAATTAACGTAAATTGAAATCAAATCAAATCTACTGAAACTAAATTGAAATCAATTGAAATCAATTAAAATTAAACGCAAATTGAACTCAATTGAAAGTAAATTGAAATCAATTGAAAGTAAATTGAAAGTAAATTGAAATCAATTGAAAGTAAACTGAAATCAATTGAAAGTAAATTGAAATCAATTGAAATCATTTGAAAAACAATTGAAATAAAATTACTTTGCTTCGAGTGATCCCCACCATGACATTTCAAAACGGCTTGTTGACACCACTTTTGTCTGAAGCTTTTGTCACGGTACTTTTGCCCAACTAACTATCCCAATCATTTGTTTCACCTGGCAGGTCATTGTGCATGTCAGTCTGCCAAACAGGATATAAACATGTCAGTGGGCCATGTGAAGTAAACTCCAGAGCTCTCAACAGGTTTGCTTAAACATATCTTCCTACATGAGGTCCGGCAGGGAACACTTGGCGCGGATACTCGCGGTTGAGGTCCGGCAGGGAACACTGGGCGTGGTGGCGTGGGAGGTCCGGAGGGTCGTGGTTGAGGTCCGGCAGGGAACACTGGGCGGGGATGGTCGTGGTTGAGGTCCGGCAGGGAACACTGGGCGTGGATGGTCGTGGTTGAGGTCCGACAGAGAACACTGTGCGTCGAGGGTCGCGGTTGAGCAGGAGGAGGAGGAGGAGAGGAGAGGAGGAGAGGAGCAGGCAACTGACATAAAATCTAACAACCCTCACCTGGCAGGTGGGGAATTGAAAATCAATTGAAAGTAAACTGAAAGTAAATTGAAATCCATTGAAATCAATTGAAATAAAATTGAAAATCCATTGAAAGTAAACTGAAAGTAAATTGAAATCAATTGAAATCAATTCAAAATCAATTGAAATCAATTGATCCAATTTTATTCAGTACCTGGTACTTAAAGAAATCCACCCGAAAGTGAATCCAAAAATTGTTTGGGGGGGACCCATCACTAATCAGCATTCGACATGAATGTTGACTTAATCCATAGGAATCCATACTCAACTTCAAGAGACAGTTGCGCAAGTCAGGTGCCTTTGGAGTGAACGTAGGCCAAAGCCTTGGTGATGTGGTAAGATTGGGAAGGGCATCGGGGGCATCCAGATCTCGAAATCCTGTTGAGGGCCTGAGGTTCTGACGTCCAGAACCTGTCTGAACCTTGTGTACTGTACATTCAAGATCATTCAAAACCATTCAGGATCATTCAAGGCATCTAGCTGTGGAATGGTCAAATATGTCAAATGAAAATCCCAAGTGAGAGAAGCCCAACGGAGCTTTCGTTCCGAGCAGCAATTTCCATATCAAAGCTTCATCCTTCTGCAGTTCACCACTGACAATCGCCTGCATTTACTATCGGCTATAGTGACTATGGGATGTGGAGTAAAAACATCCGCATGAAAATGTAGTGGCATGTTCACGCTTGCAACTCTGTTGGTGGATTAGCCCATGATGCTGCACCTCTCTCAATGTCGTTCCATCGCAGAACTCCATCCTGAATTTGTCAGAACTCGGTGAGCTGTCAGGCTTTCAACTATGTTCAGCATTGTTCAGAAGCGAATGGGCAGCCCTTCGTGCTACCCTGTAATTCCGTGATTCAAGGTGCCTCTGGCATCCTCTTATCCATCCACTGACCAGCTGACCCATGATTAATGCATCCAGCACCTACAGTATCTATATGTATGTACTGTATATATGTGTGTGTGTGAATGTGCATAACAGTATTTGCTTGGTTTACGCCAAGTTTAACGGATTGTCGTGTATGGTCCCAGGTTATCGCTTTGGGGGGTGTTCTATCGCTTTACAGTGTTTTGTGCACATCTCTGACAAAAACTCCTGCAATACTAAAGTGGTCTTCAACCATTTTGACCGTGACTCATATATACCTCTGTGTGTGTGTGTCTGTTTAATTAGTTAGTTGATTGCTTATTTTTTTAAAATTATATATCTATATATACATATTTATCATTATTAATTCATTTATATCTATCTACTAATTATCTACTAGTCGTCGTTTAATTCTCCTCGTCCTCTCGGGCTTCATCTTGGCATCTGGACATGACATCAATATGACATATCACCGCTGCCAAGGCGAGGGACTGAATGTACAGGGTTTCCAGCAACAATGTGGAGCCTGGAACGCTGCATGGCTGCGGGGTCTGCGGGTCTGCGGGGTCTGCGCATAGGACCGGCATCTCAGGCTTTGACCGGGTGGAGGGGATGCTCCCCTGGCCTCAGCAGCCAATCACATAGATCTACTATGATCATCTATGATCATCTATGATCTACTGCTACCATCTACCATCATCTACCCACATCCAATGGTCAAGAACACCCTGTCTGATCTGTCTGCCTGTGTTAGCGTTTCTGTGACCATTTTTTTGCAAGCACTCAAGTGATAGGCTGAAGGCCCCCCTGAAGTTTCTCAGGGGCTTGCACTGATTTGCAAAAGCCAGAACAAAGAGGCAATGCATACTGACTTGAAGGCAGCCTATTTCAATATATTCAATCTATTTCATTCCATTTGCTGTTTCACTTGGTGGGCTCGAGGTTCAACATGGCTAAGCAATTGCCGACCTTCTGCCGCAGCCATTCTGTTTGGAGCTGAGGAAGCTCTTGGAGCCAATCTGGTGGTAACTGCGAGAAGCCCAGCCTAGCACCTAGCAAGGCTCCAGCAACAGTCGCGTTTGAATCAGCATCACCTGCTTGCATTGTGATCGCTTGCAGAGCTGTTCTAAAGTCATCGGAATAAATGAAGGCCCACATGGCAGCTCCCAGGGGCTTGTAAGTGTAGCCGATGCCACCAGTAGAAAGCTTCAACGACTCCAAGCCGTCCATCTCAACATCAACGGATCGCAAAAGCTCATCGACATCATGGCCTTCCAAGAACTCGCTGGCTTGAAGCGCAACAGACAGAGCCAGCTCTCTGCGCTGATCCGTGGCGCAAATCCCATGTCCTGCCAGGATTTTTGCCAACAGCAGGGCAATGCAAACGCAGCTGCTGATGCATCTGGGGTCTGCATGCGTGACGGATGCTGATGCTGCCGCATTGTATTTCACAAGCTTCTCATTCCAAAAGCAGAAAATGCCAGCAGCTGCACATCGCATGATGGCACCATTGGCTGCCAGCGAACAGCCGCTTTGGCGCCAGATATGTCCGCCGCAACGTCTGGAGCGATGAGAAAAGCCGGATGCTCCAGGACAGAGTTGACCGTTTGTCCAACTCCAAGTCCAGATGAATCCCCAAGCTCAGGGAAGCCACCGTTGCGCCATCGTTTCAATGCTTTCGCAAAGGTGGTGGTGCTAAGAAGACCACGTCCTTCAATGATTGCATCCAGTAAAAGTATCATTTGGTCCGTGTCATCTGTCCAATCTCCTTGGTCCCAACGCTTTCTATGCCTATCTTCAATACGAGAAGCTGGACTGAGTCTGGTGGGTTCCGGGTATGCTCTGGCTGCTTCTGATTTCTCCATAAACTCAGTGGACAGGCCAACGGCGTCCCCCAAAGCAGCTCCCCAAATCAATCCGCGGATTTTATCCGACAGCTCTGCAGAAGGCAGGTCGCTGTGAACCGGAAGAAATGATGGCTCTACATCCCCCACTTGAGGCAAGGGAATCAAAGGGCGGCATTGATCTGGGATACCTGGGATTTCATAGTGGCCGCTGACTATCACGTCAGCACCCTCTTGTGCTGCCTTGCGAATACTTTCCATGTGTTGCTCCGACAGCAGCTGATCTGATGAACCATCAATACTGAAACTTACATGTGGATTGAATTCTTTGTGGATCAGCACAGGAAGCAAAGACTCCAAGCGCTGCCTGACACTCAATGCAGTGCGGGACAAATGACTCACATCAGCACGAGCAAGGTAGCTATCATCGGTTCCATTCCACAGGGTGATCACCCCAACCTGCATCACTCTCACTTCCAGTTTGCAGTCGTCATGCTGCTGGAGAAAGTGATCCATCTGCTCTGCAGTGCCAAGTGTTGTAACGGAACACCTTTCGAAGCCATCATCATAAACAAAGTCCAAATCGTCCACTCCATCATGTACAACTCCCAAAGCATCACACACCAAGCCAGCAACTTCCGCAGGCTCTGCACCTGTGACATCAACAAAAAGACTTTGAGGCTCGAAGGGTTCACCAATATCTCCCACCGTCACTAAGACTTGTCGCCGACGATGGTGGTGTGAAAAAAATAGCCGGAGATTCTGCAACTCTGCGCCCATGACATTTTGGCCACACCCATCCGGCCCCACTCCGAAAAAGGGATCCACCTTGCTACCAAAGACGATTCGTGTGTTCTCTGGGATGCTTAGCAACAAAGTGCGTGCCTCTGGATGTGCCCAGAACTTCTCTATCAGGGCTTGCTTAAGTCGATCACGTTTGATCTGATCCCAGTCAGGACGAAGCGGACCACAAGTCCGACCTAAATGTTTGGCAACACCGGGCTCAAGTTCAACGCGAATCTTTTCTTGAATCTCAAAATCCTGAAATTTTCCTGCTTGGAAATAGTGTTCTGCAGAAGGCCACCATCTTCGAAGGGGTGGAACTCCCTCGGTGGTCCAAAAGCCATAGCCTCGCTCAAAGTTCGAGAGGACTTTAAAGCCAGGAGTGGCTACGACGTCCAGCTCTGCCATTGCCGATCATTGGCAGCTCAACGAGCTATAGCAAAGCAAGAGGTGGGCAGTGAGAATCACTTTGAGCATCTTTGAGCACTCCAGTGTGTCAAAATGATCAAAATGTGCGACTGGATGCGGCAGGTGTCTTCTCTTTGCCTATGGGATCCTATGGGATATCTAGTGCTTTTCAAGTGCAAAGCTTTTGAGGCCAAGAACAGAAGCTGAGGGGAGGACCCAGGCTTGCCCAGGGTGTGACAGCCAATCATCCCCTTGGGGAAGTCTGCATCGTTGGCAAAGCAGTGCCGCAAAAAAAAAACAAAGATGTTTTGAAATGTCTTGAAAAAATGCTCAGTGTTTTCTGCTTGGAAAAGCTTTCAAACTAGTTCAATTCATGTCCACTTACATAATCATCTTTTCCAAACTGTTCCATTCTTTTCCAGGTTTAGGTGGATCTGGGTCCGGTTATTCCATTCTATTTCGACATGTTACAGACGAATCCTGAAGTCTCATGACTCAGTTGCATACGTTCAGCAGGGACAGCAGCTTTCCTGTTCAGTCCAGGCACGAAATATGCCAAGGCATTAGGCTACTGTATCTTCATTCTCTGCTGTGCTTGCTGTCGGCAATCAAGCGAACAGGAGGACACACAACGCAGCCCAGGAAGCTGGCACTGTCCGTACCTGGGGAACACTCTGCACAGAGGCAAGAGCCAGGCACAGGAAAGCTAAAATTAACCAAGAATCTCACCATCCCCTGCTGAGAACGTTGCTGCTGCACGCTTTTTCACCCCACGAGCTTTTGCAGCCTTGGCAAAGTGGGCTCACAAAGTGCACGACACGGAAAGGCTCGCTGTGGCTCACACCACACCAGAAGGACCTAAGTGGGCACTCCATGGCACGCCCAAGAGAATTAAACTGCCTGGGTCGTTGTTTGACCTCACTGAACAGTATTTACTGAACCTGAGCAACAAGTGCCAAACGTACGGTCTCTTTCTGCTCTTTCTGCTCCGTTTCAATCCATGCCTGAGGGAAGTTTGCAAGAGCATGCTACAAACCGCAAGGAATGCGTGCCGTAACTTTGCAGTAGGGCCTGAAAACAATCTGACTGGTGCGAATAATCATGAATAATCTATCATCGAAAGCCTGCACCCGTTTGGGAAGCTACTCTTAGCAAGATTCGTTATTCTTCAGCGGTTCAAGCGCTTCAATATGGTGGCTCCAGGTCAAAATACGAAAATCCTCCAAACCCAGAACCTAACTGAGCACTTTTGGCCCAGTCAAGGGGCAATCCCTTGCCGTTAAAACAAGCAAAAGGGGCGCCACCAAATGCAGCACAAAAGAGCGGTGAGAGGTGAATACAAGGACAAAGGACAGCATGATGCTGACTCGCTCAGTACCCAATTCCTGATCGCCATGCAACCACTTCTGCCTCTAAAGCATCAACTACCTTTCGACGCTCAACTTCCATCTCCGATGGTGTCTCTGACAGCCAACCTCATCTGAGCACAAAATTGATGTGCCATACTGAAGCCATCTGAAGCCATAAAGAATTGACAGTTGAATCTGAAATTGTTTGCTGCTGCATCATTGAAGGGCCACTTGATATACTTAATAATATTCCAATGTCAAAAGCATTAATCCGCATACATGGGCCGCCAGTAACATTCAGAAGCAAAGGAGCGAAAACAACAAAAAGAAAAGAAAGAGAGCGAGAGACAAGGCGAAGAACGTAAAGTGCAAGTTATAGTTTTAAAAAAAAAATGACGAAATGGCAGCTCTCATTCAAAACCTTGCTTGGACATGCTTGGACAGTGAAAATGCGTAGGCGTACGATATTCGCAGCCAAATTCCTAAGTTGGTAATTACAAAACATCGAGCCGCGAACAGAGAGGCAGTGGTAGAATGCTAGTTTGCAAGGACTACGCGCTGACTCCGAAGAGGGAGAGGCCTTTTGAAACCGAGAGAGCGGGAGAAGGAGTGCAAGATCCAAAAGCAATGCATTTTGTTGCGGATGTGTCAATCAATGACGTCGAGGTTTTGAAGAGTGCAACCTGCAATTTTTTCTTCAATATTTTGCTCGAGAAACCATGGAAGTTCAAGGCAGTTCGTCGGCAGCGGGCCAAACAAACGCCTTCAGGATTCCTTACACGGGTGACCTCAAGTGCAGGAAAGCATGTGCCTTACACATCTGACATCATGCACAAGTCGCTTTGCTGTGGGAATCAAAGTTGGCAACAGAACCCCCTTGAATCCGATTTGCATACGGTTTGATCGATCACTGCCATGTTTCTTTACCAAAGGCCCAGCTTGCGCCAAACGTGCAACTGCCCAAGGGCAGAATATGGCACTGAGAACCAGGCACTCGGATGGCCCTGGCAGCCCATCTCGCACATATGCTCCAAGAAGGTAGGCCAATCAATTCTCAGGCCCGAGGAGTGAGGGATCAAAAAAAATTATTCCGGATCAAAAACAAAATTAAAACACTGGTATCATTTTTTTTTTTACAGAAATATACTTCGATGGTGGGTTGGACAAAAAATGAGCCAAAATATGTTTTTTTGATCAGGCAACGGGGGGATCAAAATGCTCTAGTTCGCCACTCGAAGGCATCAAAAGAAATATATTCCAGACAGAACCAGACTTTGATGTTGGGTCTAGATTGCCACTTGGAGCAGCTATCCAGAATATGAATCCATTTCGGGTTGGTTTAAGATTCATTGATGGTTGTTTTAAGGTCTATTTGGGGTTGGTTTGATGTTTTTTGGTGGGTCGGTATAAGGTCTGTCTAAAGTTTGTCTACGGTTGCTTTAGGGTTGGATTAGGTTTATTTCGGGATCGGTGCGTGCATGTAAATAGTTGTAAATATGCAAATCCATATCTATATATATATATATATTTATATACATAGTTATTCACTGATATTTGATACTATATGATCATATACACAGGGCAAGGGATCAAAAAATGTTCTGGGATCAAAAAATATTCAAGAGATCAAAAAAATAATGTATATATGATATTTTATGTAAAGAAAATTATATCATGTTAAATATACAGTACACTTTATTTATATATATATATATTACGCAGTTTCTTGTGTATATAGGGAGAGAGAGAGAGAGAGAGAAAGAGAGAAAGATATACACACATATAAAAAATATCTAAATACGTGGAAAGACATATATATATATAATTATATAATATCTATATACATGCAGAGAAGTATATTGCAAGTGTGCAAAGTTGGACTTGAATTAAAAAAAGCGGGAGGGGGTCTCGGGGGGAGGGCAGAAGAGAGGCGATAGCGTCCTGATAGGATCAGCTAGAGCGTCTTTCCAGGCTGCAAGCACTAGTTTTGCTCTGTCGGCCACAAGCCAGTCAGTGCAGTGCCTAGGCTACAAGCTATACCTCTAAATCTCTCTCTTGAGCCTTGACAGTGTATATAAACTGTGCTCAGTACTCATGATGCCCTGGTAGGGTCGAGTCCAAAAAACAAAAACACAGGCACAAATTCAAAGGCAATGAGTTGAGCACTACGCATTGTCGTACCCAATTGAGAGTAAGAGTTCTAGCCGGTAAACTAGAGTGCACGTTGGCTAACCAGCAAAACTAGCGGAGAGCGCGCAGTGGATTCTATACAAAATGACGGAGCGCTAGCGAACTTGATTGCGGCAAAATGTCCTAAAGACACGTCGAAGTGAAAAACAGCGGATTGTGAATTATTTTTCGGCAATGGTGCGCAATGCACGGTCGATCACGGCAAAATGCTCTATCGGTGAAAAGTTCTCTCCAAACGTACGTGCAAGATTCAGAAACTGAGGCCATACGAAAAACAATTGGCCAAAACACGACATGAACGAATGAAATTCGGATCTCCAGAGTCAGTCATTCAAGCGGACAATGGACAAAATTTCGGAGTTGGAAGAATAAAGTTCATTCGCATCAAAATTCTTATCTGCTCGGCGGAAAATATGTGGAGACAAATGTGATATTATCTCTTCGTTAAAGAGTATATATCAGCAATGAAAAACACGAAACTCTGTACACCGGAATGGTATTATCTCTCTGTTGTAAGAGTATATACCGTTTTGTGGAAAAAGAAATCAGCTCACAGAAAAAGTGTACAGAGCAAAATAATCTTGTGCTATCTTCTTCGTTTAGAAGTATACACTCATCTGTTCTTCGGTCTCCATTGCCATGTTGACGAAGCTGAGGAGCCACCACCAAAGGACCATCACCAAAGCCTTGACCTTGCACTTGTCGGACTTCTGAATATCCTTCCTTCTTTCCTTTCGTTGAATCTTCTTGGCTGGATGAACCTAGGCATATTTTTTCTTCCACTCCATGTCAGAAGGCTTCAAATGAACAAGAGGCGGGGTGTGTGCATCAGTGTCAGTTGGGGCAGCCATGAAGATGTTGTGGTCACAAGATAAACAGGTTTCATTGACTGAAAAAAAAAAATCACCAACAAAGTCCATGTGGTCTTGATCATCAAAATCATTGACATCCTCCTCAAAAGCAAACCTTGCGTGTCCCCATTCACGGATGGACATCATGCAACAGTCGCCAACACTCTCAGTTTTCTTGGCCAGTTCAGGAGTATAAGTTTCGGTTTTGACTCGTCGAGAATACGAGGTCCTTGTAGGAACAAGAAATAAAGTGTTCAACCCTAACGGCCGGTGCCTCTCCGTAATTCTTGATCCTCGACTGGGTGGCTGTATGAATCATACGACCGATCCAAAACTGAAGCAAGCTGACTTCATATGATGGACAGCCTCCGACCTTCGAGTGACAAGGTAGCAAGCTTTATTTCGGTCGCCTGCGATCACGTCAACTTGGAAACGGATACACTATCAGGACATACATGCAAGAATTTCTCCGCAGCTTCCTTGCGACTTGGAAACATTTTCTTGTCCGACGTGATAGACACACACACACACACACACGACACATGGACACCCTTGCTCGAGTGAGGGGCTCCTCTTCCTCGGTGTCTCTGTTCAAAGCTGTGCCCCACAAAATCTCAAATATTGCCCATGATACGTATCTGGCACGTGTGTCATCTTCACCAGTTTTGTAACCAGCAATTTTTCGAACATATCCGTCTCTTCCCACACGAGCAGCAACCATAAGGTCACAATAATTATTGAAGCATGCATGTCTTGAATTGCTCCTCTTCAAGTAAGGACCTGTGAGGATAGAGGCTCTGCGCCTCGCAATTCACAAATAAATGTGCTCCAAGATTCTTGACAACGTTGATGAAGTAGTTGTTAAACTGTGGCTTGTCCCCTACCTTCTCATGGCCACGGTCAATCTCATACTTGATGTGCGTTTCAAACTTTTGAAGCTTCTCAGGCAATGGACATTTGTTGAAACGTGACCGTCCTAAGTTCCAGAACATCAATGAAAATTGTGGTGAGGATCGATAAGGGTGGTCCTTGTCCAAAAACTCTGGATCAACCACGCCAGCTCGCAAATACCGTGATGCAAGACACTGCAGGACTACACAATATGATAAACAACCATGTTGCTCCACATAATCAGTGAGAACAAGAGAGAGAGAGAGAGTCTGGAAGTCATCTACGAAGCGTTTCTCTGCTTCATGTGTCAATCGTTCAACTGATTCACGTGCTCGAAGATGAAGACGAGGGCCTGCGAAACCATATGCTGCATCCTTGCGAAGGTCCTCTAACAATGACAGTGGGTATTCATCCTTATGTCTGGCAATGTAAGCTTCCATCCATTGCTTGTCAGAGTCAGTGTGCCAGTGGTCTTTGTGTGGTTCGCTGGTCTCCTTGTACTTAACATGCCAGAACATGTGTCGATGCTGACTTGAAGCTGGATAACCTTGATTGTAGAAACCTGACCATTCATCATAGTAGTTGTTGGCAAAACGCTTGGAAAGTTTTCGAAAAATTCTATCATCTTCAGTTCCAGTGATATCCTGACCATAATAGAAACGTGTGGTAGGTTCTTTCTTTGGAGCCGTGTCATCATGTTGAATATCATCTTTCTTCTCCTCTGGCTCCTCTCCCTTCTGAGAGCTTCCAGATGAGAGCTTCCAGTCTTTTGGTCAGACATGAATGAATCATCTGTCTGAATCTCCATGCTCACCTTCTCAGGTGGTGGTATCTTAGGCTCCTCAGGTTCAGCTTGATCATCTTCAACATCTATGTCTTCTTCTTCGTTCTTGACAACTCTTTCCACGATTCTCTTTTTGAGATTCTTGTCATACATGTTGAGCCATTGGGTGGTACATTCAACAAGTGCATCATCTTCTGCTTCCAGAATAAAATGTTTGTTTTCACAACTCAAACATTCAACAGTACCCTTGAATTCTGGATCACCTGGGCCTTGATCATGTGAGTTTGCTCACCAAAGTAAGCCTCAGCATGTTCAGCTATGTCTGGTTCATAGTCATCGGCATCTTCCACAGCAAGTGGGACAGGATCTGGATTGTCAAGTCCAGGAACAGCAACACCATGCCATTCATCATGGTCACGTCTGATCTTAGATTGACTGACGCGCATGACAGAGTTGCCAACATGAACAAGGTCAGCTGCTTGCCTTGCTTTCTGATGCGCCTTCAACGCTAACCTTTGCAGTTCTTGTTGTGTTCTGTCCTCAGCTAAGGGTTCAACGCTCAGTTGGGCAGGATCAGAAGTTTCAACATCCAGAAGATCCAATGTTCGTCTACCAGTGGCAATTTCCAAAGGTGAATAACCACAAACAGTGAGTTGAGTGTTTCTGGCCCAAACAATATATACATTTCACAGCTTCTCTGACAGTCACTCCTCTGAACCTATCATCTCCCAGGTTCTTGGACGCCATTGTCGATTGAAAAGTCTCACAGCTGATTCAGCTCTGTTTGGCCATGGGGTTCTTGAACCACAGGGACATTCCTTTATACCGTGAGTTCTGTGGTAGGTCAGAAAGTCTTCTTGGAAAAAGGCTTCATCACCTACAATGGCTTTAGGCATACAATTGTTTTCATCAGTCCACAACCTTAGAGCCTGAATTGTCTCTTTGTTGCTCAGTGAGGTTTGTGCCGTAGCCCAAAATAAGCTTGATGCACCATCAAGAACAAGCAACGCCATGTACTTGTTCTTCCTCAACAGGATCTCGGCATGATCAACAAAGATGACATCTCCAAAGTTGGAAGCTCGTATGCCTGAAACCCTGGCTCTCGGCGGTGGTGCAATTGAAGTACTACACACACACACACGACACTTGTTGCACATGTCTTCATACTTTTCATGCTGTCCAACCCTGTGGTTCTGCATAATTTTGTTCTAGAATTTGCCATGTCAGGACGTTCACCTAGGAGACATTAAAGCGCCGACGTCACCATCATTACAAAGCTCCTTGTTGGACTGTCAGACTCATTCAGCAGTGCGTGTGTGTGTGAACCATCTCAATAGATGTAAAACTTGTTACCTGTGAATTTCAATGGAAGCTCCTTCGGCGTGATGTCGCCTGAGTTGATTCATCGCAAGTTCTTTGTGCAAGATTCTTCTTCGGTGTGGTTTCGCTTCAGTATTCTCATGGAATTTTCCTTAAGCAGGGGGCCCATGGGCACTTGGATGGCATTGGCCAACGAAGACCCATCCAAGTTGCTGTGCAAACGTGCCTGCAATTTTTGAATCGTGATGGAATGTGGCTAACCCAAGAACCACCATGACGTTTTACCACGAGAATCGCTTCAGAATTTTGAATTAAGCACATGAACGGATGAAGGTGACTTCTCCTTTGTCTTTCTGCACAGTTGGCGCAATCTGAGACTGCGGTGAATCTCTTGTCCATTCTATTTTTCTGCTTATGTGGTGGGATTCTTCCTGGCTTCTATTGATTTCATTCTATTCTTCAAGGTGGCGACGAAGGAATCGAAGGATTTCATTCTATTCTTCAAGGTGGCGACGAAGGAATTTTCCTTTCACTCCACACCAAACCCTCCTGTCAGGTGTAACTGAAGTGTTTTTGCACGACGGATGCATTTCACATCAAAATTCGATAGGGACAAGTCTGAGCAAGTGTGTGTGTGTGTGCGCGTGTGTACCGTCAGCATTAACGGAAAACTTCATTTTTTTCTATGCATTGCAGGGGGGGTGCAAGCAGCCCATCCAGTCTTGCTGGTGAAATCAGCTGGGGACGCCTGGCTGATGTACCTGCTTGTTTATGCTATCGCCGGCGTTACAACGTGGAGGAAAACGACGTTTTTACATACCGTGTGTCTTTACATCTGGGGTGGGGTGGGGTCGGGTGGGGCAATAAAGTCAGTGAACGCTACTTCATGCAATAACATCATTGCTACGCTACGTGATGTTCATAAAGCAAGGGCTCCTGCAGCTCAAGAAGCTGACATAGGGTTCTTTCAGGTGAGACACGCGCTGCTTGAATTTTCCAGAAATGTTAGAAGACGCAATGGTCAGAGCCTGAAAGCAGGAATTCAGATCTTGGACAAATGCTGGGATTACTGTAAAGATTTTATTCCCAAGCAAATCAATACGTACAAAGGATCCAAAGACCATTCTCTTGAATGGGGACTTGTGGAATTGGATCTACTAGTGGCAGTGGCGATACAACAATCGCCTCAATCTCTGGCAAATGGTGCCCGAGGTGATGCGCCACATTGGAAACCATTGACGACTTGAAATGTCGCAAGCCAAAAAACGCGACGTCAATAACGACGGCGATACCTGTTACCTTGTTTCTATATATATATATTTATATATATTTATATATTTATATTTATATATATATATATGCGTGTGTGCGTGTATATATAGCTCCGTCCCTGGGCGCATATGGGGGACTTATAGTTTATCGCTGTTGGTTTATACAGTCAATGTCTTTTGTGATTTTTTTGCGCATGTATATATATAATCATGTATATATATATATATACGGTTACGGTATATTTAACCATATATATATATTATACGTCTTGTCGGTATGTTCTATCGTGTCATTTGGTTGGTTTTGCGCGCTTTTGCAGGTACGATGCATTACACCTTCATAATTCGATAAGACAATTCTGAGCAAGTGTGTGTGTGTGTGGGTGGGTTGCGTACCTGTGCCTGTGCGTGTACCTGGCGCAGTGCTTTGTTGAAATCTAGAGACTGAGACCCTCACCTGGCAGGTGGAGAACAAAAAAGGAAGAAATAGATCTAAATAAAATCAACAAGGAAAAAATAACTAGAAAGATGAATAAATAACAAAAACAACACGAAAAAATGACTAAGATTGAGTAAGTATACAGCAATCATTTCAAACAGCACGCTTAGCGTCCATACAAGTATAATCAAGTATATATTTGGGATGTTGTCCACCCATTTTTCGCTTGGTTCATCCACGTTCATCCTCCCACCTTTTTGAGGTCGTTTGTTTTGACACACTGCCAGTTCACCAGTCCCAATCACTTCCAAGCGGCTTCTTGTCACCAAAAACATGTCGAGCAAGGCGAGAGTCCTGGTAGCAGAAGCGACTCAAATTACATCAGAACAAACACGATTTGAGTAGGCTCCGAAAAAAAAAGAAGATAAAATAAGCCGCACAAACATCACAAACAATGCAAAACAATGTATATAATATAATGTAAATATATATATATATTAAATACATATGATCTGGATCTGAAATATTGAGATATAATGAGGATGTCCTGCTGTGTCACCTCATATCACTTCGCCTGCCTTACTTGATCAACATCGTGTAATGGGTGACTCATGCATTCGAGAGTCGACTAATGTCATGATCTGGGTTTGTCGGTCTGGAAAGTCACCACCAGCAATGTCATCCGCAGTGATGGCTGCGCGGCCCTTTGCATAGACCTTGTGGAAAATCCTGCAGCAGTTGTCATGTGTGGAGCGAATAGGATTTCCAGTATGGCCACGCTGCCCCTTTCCACGATGTTTTGAAAGAACTGGCTTGAATGATCTTGAATGAGCAGGTTTAAGGTTTCAAGTGGACAACATGGTTTAGTTATGTTTAGTTTGTACAAGCCTTCGCGTAACCTTCGGGTCCTTTCCAACTGTTTTCTTTCTTCGTCATCTATCAGTCTTGGCGATGGCCAACGGATGCTTTCCTCGGTCAAGCAACAATGATCTCTCAAAAGACGTGGGGGAACTCCACGGATAGAGTGTTGTCTAAAGCTACGTGATTCACTTTGCTACCATTGCTACCAGGCTTCAAGTTCATTGAGTGCGAGCCATGATAGCATTTCAGCAATGTTAGCAGAGGATGAAGAAGGGAACGCCCATGAAAGTAGCAAACCAAGCGAGATCCCCTCAGCTTGCTCTGGACTGGCACACATCTGCCTCCAAAGCTTGACTCCTCTCAATAGAGCAGCCACTGACCGTCGATACGTCTGTTGTATTCCACAACTGGCTTCTTGTTCCAACCAATGGATGAATGTGGCCCAGCGCATACGCGACAGTGGGTTCTCACTCTCTGAATCCCACGGATTCCGACTGAAAGAGTCGTCCTGCGCAGCCTGCGGCCCCGAGTTCTCACACCAGGCTTCTTGGACGAGCTTCACTTGATGTAAGTACTGAGCTTCAGCTGCCCTGTCTGACTCCAGCGCTTTGAATCTCAGGAATTGGCGATAGATTCGCTGGACATGTTCAACTGTTGCTTCTCTCATCGGCTCTTCTAGCTGGATTTCTCCAGGTTTCTGACTGATTTTGGCATTTAAAAGGGCAACATGAATTCCGATGGCTATCTTGGATAGCACCCTTTGTCGGATAGCTGTGATTTTACCAGGTGAGTCCCTGCTCAATGCAGAGCTGGGTCGCCTCAAGAGCGCGGTCATAGGACTGACAGGTGCACCAGATGTGGGCCTTTTCTGGGCCGACGGCAAGGATGGCTGGGACGTATGGCGCAGTCCACGATCGGCATCTGTCACAATGACATGATGCGGTTGTGTCTGTGCCCGACTTACAGGCCTATCAGGCCTATGCCTTTGGGAATAATGATCCAGAAAATGCAGAAAACGCTTTTCTGCAGGATCTCTCGCAGTTCTGCGCAAGACAGGTTCCGAGTTGCATCGCCCCAAGGACATGAGCGCTACATGCTGCTACAAAATGCCCAACAAGACAGGGCTTCTTTCAACTATGTTCTGTAGGATAGGTTCTCCAAAATGGAGGGGCTGGTGTCAAGCATTTGCACAAATTGAGGGATATGTATGTGTATGTATATATATATATATAAAGATAGATAGACAGACAGATAGATAGATTACGTGTATATCTATATAATATATTATTTATATATCTATTCATTTATCTATTTATGTATTTATTTAGTTGTTTGTTTGTTTGTTGGTTGGTTGGTTGGTTTGTTTGTTTGTTTGTGTGTGTATGTGTGCTACATATGATTATATATGATATAAAATGTCTAACTATATAGATATATACATATAAAGTTAACAATTGTATGTGTATATCTTATGTGTATATATATATATATATAATGATGTCCTGACTGTGCCTGTGCCTTGGGCTAGCTTGAGCCCAAGAATCACCCAACACTTCACTCAGAGTGTGGATCGATCCGTCATGATCCGTCTCTGTTGCCCCAGCTTTCTGATTCGGAAGGGCAAAGGCCTCTCTGATCACATCAACCTGGGCACAGCTCCATGTGGCCTGGTAGTACCGGACGATGTGCATGTGAGTAAGCCTGCCCGCAGTGCTTTCACTGTCACGACATGGGATAATCAAAAACAACGAAGAAAAACGGCAAACTGACTGGTTGGTACTCCCACTACTGTAACTCAAAACGCTGGCATCATCTTTGCCTCTTTGCTGACTATTACTTAGTACATCTTAGTACTGTTACTTGTTTTTAGTATTTACTGTCTTTCCCGCCTTTTTCAACTCCGCCCCTGGGACGTCTCAACTTATCCTCCAACCATTAATTATAAACATGAATCGGAGCTGGGAACTGGTTTAGGAACCGACTGCAAGAATTTGCCATTGTTTCGCCATCCCATTGGGGACCCTGGAAAATTACATTTATATTCATATCAGTTTATATCAATTACCATATGAATGTCATTTAATTGCCCAAAAATATCCAAAAATCCCCCATGAAGTTCCTGTTGAAAAAACCATACCATGCGACAGTCGCTCAGCGCCTCGGCAGCAGGGCGCATTCCTGCAGCAATTTCTCGCGCTCCACAGCTGAGCCCCGCAGCTCCATGCCTTCCCAAGAGGGATCTCCAAGGGTTTAAGACGTATACTAAGGATATTACGGCATATCTATCTATCATTATCTATCTGTCGAATCTCATCTCATCTAATCATATCTAATCTAATCTAATCTAATCTAATCCATCGGTCTAATGTTCAGGCATATGCTCTCGCAGACATGAACATACACATTAACATTGAAAAGCATCAAAAAGATGCCATAGGTTACAATCCTCTATCTCCACCGTATTTCTGGGGATCTGATGTGATGTTTTGGACTGAAAAGACTCACCAAGCAGCTCGGCTGGGCAGCTGAGGCATCTGACGTTTGATGGCATACAACTGACCTCAGGAGTTTCCAAAACGTGCGATTTCCATGTAGTACGTGCTGTAAAAACCATGCATGCATTAAATTAAATACGTACCACACATTACCACAGTATCTTCAACCAATCGCACGCGGAGAGCAAATTGGCATAAATAGGCACTCAGGAATAATTACTTCGGGCAAATCTACGCAAATCCGAATCAATGTGCAAAAATGGAGCATCGCAAGTTCACCCTTAGCCGTGAACGATCCACCCGATGCCTTACCTGGCTGGACATAGGATTACCGGGATTGCTTGTCTTGAAAAGCCCTGATCATCTCACCGTGCGAATTGGTTCCAAAATATTCCAATGGTTCCAAAAGCTGAGACTTTCCTCCAGCTCTTAGCAAAAGATCTGGGATCATCTGGGAAGGAAGCTCAGACCCGAGCCTTTGTCACTGTACCGAAGCCACCCTTGCCCAAGAGACGCAGCTCCTTGTCATAGAAGGGCACTGAATTGTATCCCTTTAGGGATTCACTAGATCCGTGCTGTGGATGCATGCACACCACGTGGAAGTCATAGATACTTGGTAGATCATGGTAGATCTTGGTAGTTTCGGAATCCTTCAAATGAGGAGATGGCATGAAAACCACTTTGCAGTGTCAATGCGGATTTTCCAAGTCCACCCAGCAGGGCCACGCCTCAAAGTCAGTTGCATAGCGACCACTGGGTCCTGAATTGGCAACCTGATGACGAATGGTCACGTGATGTCAGGTGGCCATCGCGTGAGCACTGTATGACTTCAGTGTTCAGCCGCTGACATGCCCACCCAACTAGCTGAGTGATGCACACTGCCGTCACCCGAGGGCCTCAGCGCGCCACATCCGATCCCAGCCAGTTGCCCATGTGTGCAACACATGTTTGACAGACCTGCGAATCTGAGCAATGGCGACCAGACATGGGATATGATTCTGTGCTAACAGAGCGAATACCATAAGATTAAACAAATGATTCTATGTGTATATATATATAGACATTATATATATACATATATATACATATATATTCTATATAACTTTATCCAACAATATAAATTCATATTTAATTGATAAATTTAAATTGATAAATTACTTAATTAATGGATTCCCGAAACTCCCAAGCCATCCAAAACCTAAAGCCTAAAACCACCAAACAAAGTGAAAACCTCGATTCTGCTGTTTGCTCCTTGTCCCTTGCCCCCCTCATCTTGCTGATGTGCAGTAGGTATTCAAGCCCAAAAAGCAAGCTGTGTGCTGATACCGATCTCTTCCTCCGCCTCTGTCTCTGTTTCTTTCGGCTTGGCCGAGCGAAGCACTCGCTGTACTTCTACGGTGAGCATTTTCTGCTCAAACCGCGGGTTGTGTTGGAAAGCACAGCGGACAGCAGGGGCAATCGATGCGGATCCCACTTCTCTTCTCTCACCAATCACAGCTGAGTTAAAGCAACAGGTTTGCCTTGGAGCATGCCAAGGCAAGGACCAGGGCCACATTTTACAGTAACATATATCAACGAATATCAACGACCTATTCTGAGATAGGTAAACCATGGAAAACATCGGGAGATCTGACCAGGAGAAAGCATTCAAGTGTGTTATCCCAAAGGGAGAAAGAGTTGCAGAAGCATCAGGAGTTTTAGCAGCCAAGATTCCAGTTGTTCCCCCTTCTCCTGCCAGCTCTATCCCCCTTGCTGTGACATTTTGTGACCAAAGTTTGTGCCCCACCCAGCGGGGCTGCGCCTTGGCCAACCTCAGGGAAAACCGGAGCTTCAAATGTCAGCAAGGAAAAAAAAAACGACCAACCAGTCCAACAACAATAGTATGCATATAATTAGATATTATATATATATACTGTATACAAATTAATTATATATTACTATATAATATAATGTACCGGAGAAGGGGGGAACCAAAGCGACCAAGATTTTGTCTACAACAACCCTTTTCAATGTTGCCTTTCCACCCGCTCCATTTCGGGACCCTTAAGACCGACTCGTTTTCGACCCTTTTTTTCTTGCCTTTGAACAATCCACGGATTGCCGCCTTCCGCGGCGGCTCCGTTTCGGGACCTTTATGACTCCTGCGGTTCTATCCCGCTTTAAGCTTACCCTTCCGACAAAGTCCTTATCTTGTTTTCTTTCTTCCTTCCTTGTTTCCTTCCTTCATTGTTTTTTTCCCTTTCTTTCCTCTTTTTTTTTCTTTTTTTTATTTTTTTTTTTGTTTTCTTTCTTTTCTTTTGTTCGTTCTTTCCTTCCTTCCATGTTTGCCCATGTTTGCCCCATGCGCGTCCTACAATGAGTGCCGCGGTGCAGTGCCTTGTCAATTTTCTGGTTCATAGAAATTAGAAATAAAACATAGTAAAACCACCCCTCGTGCAAGAGCGTGCAAAAAGAACGGGGAGCAAATCGGAACAGACACTAAAAATCACTAAAATAGAGATACTCACCATTGAAGGATTCCTGAAAATTACATCATCGCGGTTTTCGAAAATATTGGTGGACAGCATCAAGCATACCTCTGGTTTGCGCAGATCAATTTATTGGGTGTTTGTTCAATGGTCACACGTTCGTGCAGAAATTCCCTGTCCACTGGCAGTACAAGATTTGTCATTTTTGTTCCAACAAACAATTGCGCGGAGCTCGCCAGCAAACGCAAATTACCTGCAACAGTGAAAATTGAAAAACCATATTCCTCTCCTTGCAACCTCCCGCCTAGTGTCCTCCCTTTGGTTTATCGATTTTTTCTTCCTTTCACGTCATACATGTCTATACCGAAGCTCCATCCAATCCACGGACGGGGGATCGATACCTTGCCGTGAGCAACTTGCCGCCTGGTACATGACCTGCAAAAGAATCTTCAAAAAGACGCCTCCATACCCCCTAATTTCGGCGCTTTGCCCTCAGACCCCCTAACACTCACGTCGTTTGCAAGCCTGTAGGGTGGCTTTCGTAAAAATATAACAAATCTATGATTCGATATAAAATTTCGATTAATATATTAATTAGTCTATATATGTTTCTGCTATCGAAGGAAGTTTAGAAGTCAAATTTCCGACAATATGGACAGATGATGACAGATGGAAAAGCAGAGGTGGGAAGAGTCAGAGAAGAGAAGAGCAGAAGAGAGAAGATCAGAGGAGAGAAGGAGTCAGAAGAAAGAAGACGCAGGTGCGCGAAAAGGTAGGAAAGTCGCGAAACACTGGGCGCAGTACAAAGAGACATCTTCATCAGAGCTGTTAGGAGGTCCGGGCGGTGATTTCCTGAGATCTTCAGGTTTGCTGAGATGATTTTGCGTGACAGGTGCGGCACTTCGTATGACCTGGCATCACTTTTTCGTGGCAGGCGCAATAGTTTAGACAAATGGATTGGAAAAATCGCAAAACGCATTGGCACGAGGACGTCAGCGCTGCACGCAACTTTCCATTTCTGAAGGAAGTCTCGCAGAATTGCTTCGTTTTTGATGCTGCCAACTTCAAACAGTGAGGAAGTCTCGCAGACTTGCTTCGTTTTTGACGTTATAATTAAGTTCAAAAGTTGAGGAAGTCTCGCAGAATTGCTGCGCTTCTGACG